AATCTTACTTCCTCTAGGTCACTCATTTCTTCTTCAATATACCTTGGTGTGGAGACTTAGAGGTTCTCAATTTTGGGAACTTGGAGAAACCTTTTCATCCATCCAAATCCATGGATCCAAGATGCAAGGAATGAAGGCCCTCTCTTTGGGTGATTAGCCTTTGCTTATGCAAAGAGGAATCTACAAAGGTATTGATTTCTCAACTCACTTTGTTTTGAGTTGAGTCTTGATTCACCTATCTACTAGGCTTTGAATTTCATGGGTAAATGTTTTGTTTTAAGTGCATACAAGCATGATTCCGCCTTTAATTGTTAATTGCATGCTATTGATGTTGCTTAAATGAACATGTTTTTCACAAATTTTCCTTCAGATCACCTTTGCCACAACATTTTTAAGACTGTTATCATCAAAGATCACTGCCATATTACCCCCAAATAGGACATAATAGCCATGCTCCATCATTTGACCTACACTTAGTAAATTTTCATCCAAGCCAGGAACCAGCAATACTTCATTTATATATCTTTTCCCACGTTGAGTTTCAACCACCAAAGTGCCTTTTCCAGTTGCTTGTACAAGATCACCTGTGCCCATTTTAACTTTACAAGTCACAGATCTGTCCAGATTTATTAAGGTAGACTCATTTGATGTCATGTGATTGCTGCAAGCACTGTCCACAAACCACACACTTCTATCTTGCACAGTTGATGAGTGCCAGGCATAAAACATGGTTCCTGTAGTTACTTCTTCTTCCTTTGCACAGTGAGCAGCTTGCTTGTGACCATCACAGTCCTTTGCAATATGACCAAAACGATTGCACTTTCCACATTTTGGTTTTCCTTTGTATCTGCACACACCAAAATGAAATTTCTGGCACACTTGACACTGTGGTTTCACAGGACTTTGACTACTGCTTCCTTGCTTGTTCTGTGAATTGAATCTGTTGTTCCAATTACCTCCTGGATTGTTGCTCCAGCTTCCACTCGGAGACCAGTTTGATCCCTTCTTGTTTTGTCCCTGCCACTTTTGATTTGGCCTACCCTGAGAACCTTTGTAAGTGTCTGTGACCTGATTGTTTCCAACTCTGAGACTACTAAAAGCCCTCTTAGTTCTTGTCAGTCTATCCCTTTCATCATGTAAGTCTTCTCTTTTATCATATACCTTGACAGATGCAATAACTTCTTCCACTCTAATAGCATCCAGATCTCGAGTTTCCTCAATAATAGACACAATGGATTTATACCTCCTACTTAGATTCATCAATAATTTCTGCACAATTCTTTGTTCAGTTACATCTTCACCAAGAGACTTCAGGTTATTCACAATTCCAAAAAACCTACCCAAATAGTCATCTAGGTTTTCACTATCTGTCATTCTCATATATTCAAAATCAGCCCTAACAGCTTGAAGTTTCACAGCTCTTACCTTTTTATCTCCTCTGAACTCTCTTCTCAGAATGTCCCAAGCCCCTTTTGCAGTCTTCTCATTTCTTATACGAGGAAAAAGCTCATCTGTTATAGCTCCTTGTATAAGACTCAACGCCTTAGCGTTTTTGATTCTGTCTTCTCTGGAGATGGTTAGTGGTTCCACTGGAATTTGCTCAGCCTCGCTACCCTCCTCTCCAGAACCTTCTTTCTCTTCCGAAATCTGCTGGACTTGTACACCAAGTTCTACTACATCCCATAGATCATGCGCTATGAGGATAGTTTCCATCTTGACAGCCCAAAAATCATAGTTTGCACCATCGAACTGTGGAGTTCGTAAGTCTCCACTGGAAGAACCTGATCCCACCATTTTCTTAGTGAGTATCAGTGAATCAACCAATAAAGGAACCACCTTTATCCCTTCTGGGATTTTTAAGGAGGAACCTCTCTCACAGCTTTACTCCCTTCTTCGGAATCAGACCAGAAGCTCTGATACCATGTTTGAAATGGTACCAGGCATGGTATTTGATTAATAACTTTGTTAAAGATTGAATCTTGAATAATAGTTTTTAGAAAAAAACTGAAGTTCTTCGAGAGAGAGAGTTGAGAAGTCAAGAGTCTGTGTTTTTTTCATTACCACCGAAAACCTTAAAAGGACTATATCAGACCTTTTCAGATCAAAAACCAGAACCTACACTCTAGAGACCTAGGAACTCTTCTCCAGTCATTAATTGACATTGGAGGATATCATCCATCCACTTGGAAGAAGATGGGAAACACAGTACAATTAAAAAACCAGATAAGAACCCAGCTGTAGGAGTTCTAAAAACAGAAACTTAGCCGTTGCACATTTTGAACCAAACGGCTACTTGCTAAAAATAGCAAGTTCTTCACTTCTTCGAATTCAGAGTTCTCTTCACTTCTTTCTGCAGGATTGTCATCTGCAGTCCGACACTAAGCTTGTATGCAGCTTACATCTTAACACTCTCTTCACCTCCCCTCCCCTCCCTTCTCTCTCTCCCCACATCAACCTGCACCCAACCCAACCCAACCCAACTTCAATCCCAAAAATTAAAAATATCAAAAATCAAAAAATGGAGGCCGGCGAAGGTAAGAGTCCAAATCAAAGTCATATCAAAAACCCCAATTCAAACAATCCCAAATAAAAAACCCAATTCTGCGGAAACCCAACCAAAAAAATAATAAAAAACTGGAAATATAAACCAGATTCAAGAACAATGGGCGCGGACAGCCTGAAGAGGTGGAGCAACAGTTGTTTGGCTGTGAGATTAGGATTATCCTCGTTGTGAGCGGGTCGAATAGGACCAGAGAGGTGAAGGTGGAGAGGTGAGGGATGAGTTGAAATGGGTCGGATCGGGGTGGCGGTGGGGGAGTGGGTTGTGGTTTTGGTTGGGAAGGGAGGGGAACAAACGGAGGAGAAAAAGGGAACAGACGACGAACGAGGGTCCCCGGGGGGGGAATGGGTTTCCTGGTTGGTTTTTTTTTTTTTTTTTTTTTTTTTTTTTTAGGGTCAATATTATAATATTTTTAATGTATAAAAAATTATTTTGTTTGTTACGTAGCACAAATTTGGCCCCACAGGATATTAATGTGTCAGTTATGTTAGTTCTTAACAGATTAATGGATAAAAAATATAACGAATGTATTATATTAAAAATAAAATAGTACATGATATATAAAAGTGAAATTTTAAAAAAATCTTGTATAAGATTATAATAATTTTCAAATTTAAGTCGGGTAATTTACTCTATTTTATGTGTTGGTACGATAGTTGAGGTTAAATATTAAGGTGTCAAAATATCTCAAAAAGGTTTCACTTTTAGAGAATCCCTTAACTTGTTCTTTTCTGCTCTCTGTCCACGTATCATGTCAGCAATCCCTGCTCCATTGAGCTGTCAAGCGTCTTCTTTTCTTCGCCACTCCAGTGGCAGTGATCACTTTACTTCATTCATGAATATCCTGCGCCACGTTGTATGTCGCCTCGTTCGGTCTCGATGATTTGAACAAAATAGACAACCTTCTAAGTTCCATGAATATTGAAGTTAGAAGAGAATAACTTTTCTTTTGAGAGGAGTTTTGACAGAACTGAAACTCTTTCTTCTAGATTCCGATTATTTTAAGAAGAATTGGAATACATGAGGGTTTTTTTTTTTTTTTTTTCAATCTATCTTCTATTTTAAAGTTGATTACAATTTTTTCATTTTTTTTTCAACATATTTTAAAGTGATTCACTCATTCCAATTTATGATTTTTTTTTTCATTTCTTTGATAATTAAATGCATAAAGAGACTTCTCCGTACCTCTCTCATCAAAATCACATAATTAATTAATCTGGATCTTTAAAATTTGATGTAATGAATAAAATTATTATAACTTTTAAGAGGATATTCTGTTTATAATCGTTGAATCAAAATTCAAGAATTCAGCTTAATTAATTGTGTGGTTTTTGATAAAAGAGATCAGGAGGAACCTCTTTCCCTTTTTCCCTGCGTGACGACAATTAATCCAAGTTTTACAGTACTGTGAAAAATGCTTCTTTTCTTCGCTGCTCCAATGTTAGTCTTCAGACTCTTCACTTAACTTGATCATGAACATGTTATAAACTTATAGCTAGTTAGGCTTCATAGTTTAGGGTTTAGCCATCTCCAAAATCATAACCAGTAAGGTTGTTGGAGAATCGAAAAGCTTGAATTTAATTCATTATTTAGTACGGGAGAGATGGAGATAAGTCTAAAAGTATTCCAATAAATAGAATTGAAGCCTTTTTTTTTTCCTTTTCTTTTTACAAGAATCAATTAATAGTAATCTCAAAATTGATTACCACAAAAACACTACCGGTACTAGCACAAGTGCCCGAAGTTTAGATCCGCCAATCTTCTTGTTACAGACTGCTAACGTCACACCAATCTTGATGTTAACACTCTTATTAAGGTTGGCTAGGTCATTACAAAAAATTATCTCGAAAGTATTTTCTGACCAAAAGCCATACTTAAAATAGGTGTGCAAAATTAAAAAAAATGAGTCAAACTAGCAACCATTGTCATAAAATTATGCAAATCCTAAATTATTTCAAGAGAATCTTAATTAAATATTTCTAGTACTATTTATTTTTAACAAAAACTGAACTCTTTTCCAACCTCATCTCTGTTTTTTTATTTTTTTGTTCAAATCTAACCTCATCTCTTAGAGACGTGGCAGGGCAGTGACCTTTGCCTCATTCTTATATAATAAGGTCAAACTAATGTCCTCATTTCTACGTTGGAAAAAAATTTCAGTGTGTCAAGAACAAGATTCAGTTTACTAAATTTCTTAATACAATTGACTTATTTCATTTTTTTTTTTTTTTTTTTTTTTGAGATATCTAACCAGTTGTATTATTTCATTTAGTATAATAAACCGTGATCGTGGCACAGAAAGCTTTCTCTAGATACAGCACCATATCTCAGTTAGAAAGACCGAGAAACTCATCATTTATTGCATTGCAAACGGTAGGGTATTACGAAGACGTTGTTCTGAAATATGGAAGTTACATAAAATGAACATATCCATAAGAGATTACAAAGTAACTCACGCGGAGATAGTTTTACTTAATAAACAAGAACAAAAGAACAATTAATGATAACCCAACTGTGAAAGATTGGGTTATTAATTTATTCTAGTAGCACACAAGCATGCACATACGTAGGTATCCATGCACGGAATGATAATTAAGCGATTATTTAATCTTAATACCCCCACATGTCACACATATACATCACACATGTATGATTAATGATGATCATCTCGTCATTAATTAATAGCTAATTAACAATGTTTAGTGCAGAAGCATCTGCGGCGAAAGCCACGACAATGGCCTCCAGGAAAGCCCTCAGTCTGGCAAACAGATGCACAGTTGCTTCTACTCAGGCAGGCTCCCTTGAACTTGCGGCTCTGAGACTCACAGGTCCTACCCTCCGCAAGCATTGGTCCCATCATCCCTGCCAATTATGGTTATTAAACAGTCCGAAATTAATATGTTAACAAGAGGCAATTCAGCTGGAGAAGAATACGCATATATTTAGGTTACCTGTAGCCACCAAAAGAAGAACAAAGACGAAGGCAGTCGAAAACAAACGCATGGAACGCTCCATCTTTTTACATATGAATATATGCTTGTATGCGAGAGGGAAGAGAGACAGAGAGAGAGAGACCTGCAGTTAAATCGATGTGAAGATTAGTAACCTTGCAAGGCCTGTTATATAGAGGTGTTGTGGAGCTACCAGATCGGTGCTGTGCCATTCAGAATTATCGAGAAAATTAAAAGTTACTAATTAAAAAATCTAAAAAAGATAATCAAGATTATTTGACTATATCCAAGTCATTCCCAGTCAGGACGCACTAGGGTTGAAACAGTGATATCATATGAGAAAACATTATCTCTTATCTTATGATTTTATACAATATCTTGATACAGTAATTAACAATAAATTTTGAAATGTAAAAATATCTATAAAAGTACCCTTACCATACCTCATGAGTCGTTTCTGCTCTCTGTCCACATAATATGTCGGCAATCCATGCTCCATTGCTGTCAAACGTCTTCTTTTTTACGTCATTCCAGTGGCAGTGATCACTTTACTTCACTCGTGTATATCCTGCGCCACGTTTATGTCGCCTCGTTCGGTCTCGATGATTTGAACAAAATAGACAACCGTCCAAAACTGGTTTGGTATTACTGTATTTTAGAAAAAAATTATTTTTATTGCAATGTAAAAATAAGCAATTATGAAATAAAGCAGTAAATTATTTGTTAAACTTTTTTGTAAAAGTGTTTTTGAAAAAAAAAAAAACAGTATTATAGTGTTTGATAAACTTTTATGTAAAACAGATGTGAAAAAAACTGGTTCTCAAAGTTAGGTTTTGCAGCTTTATGTTTTTGTCTTTTTTTTTTCATCCAAAACTGTGAAAAAAAGGTTAAAGCTGGATGTTTATCAAACATAAAAAAAACTCTCAACTTTTTTTTTTTATAGCCATTTTTTTTTAAATCATCTTAGTACCAAATTAGGACTAACTTCCATGAGCATTGAAATTAGAAGAGAATAACCTTTCTTTTGAGAGGAGATTTGACACAACTGAAACTCTCTCTTCTAATCTTTTTATTTTAAGAAGAATTGGAATACATGAGGTTTTCTAAGTAATCTATCTTTTATCTCAAAGTCGATTAAATTTTTTTCCATTTTTTCTTTTAACTTATTTTAAGTGTTTCAGTCATTTTAATTTATGATTTTTTTATTCATTTCTTCTTTCAACATATTTTGAAGATAGCGTTTCATTCATCTCAATTATGAATTTTTTCATTTTTTTTCTTCAACATACTTTAGAAATAATGTTTCATTCTAGTTCATAAATTTGATATTAAAGTTGGAGAATACAAAAGTAATGTGAAGGGGACTTTCGACAAGCAACACCGAATCTAGCTTTTGAAAAGAAAAGATATCGTAGCATGCATATAAGATAAAGTAACCCAAAAGGAAATACATATATATATATATATATATATATCTGTCTGTCTCACTGGGTCACTCCCAGGATACAAGAAAAAAAAATATCGGAGCTTTTGTTTTTTCTCGTTGATGTGATGGAACCCTCTACCCTTATTACACGAAAAATGTTTTGCAAGTGTCGGTACCGACCTCTCAAACTGTTAGAATTACTCGCATCAGTTACCGTTGAAATAGACCCTTTTTCCTTTTTATCTGAATTTGTTTCCTTTGTGTTTTTAAACCACAAAATTAATGAATTCGTCGTAATTAACTATTAAACATGCCCATTGTATGAGAATAGTGTGAGCATTCTCACATGTAAGTACTATAATGGTTGTGGTCCTGATTAAGGGCTAGTTTCAAAATACTTTTAAAATAAAAACGCTTTTGAAATTAATTTATAATGAAAATGTAGGTCATTCCTAAAAAAACAAAAACATTTTAATACTTTATGTAAGAAGCAGATAGCTGGTACTTTTTACAATAAACACTTTAAATGCTTTTAAAATTTAAAAATATTTTTCTTTAAGACACTTTTAATCATTTTAAAAAGTTAAAAGGTCTCCACAGTTCAGTTTCATTTCTTATAAAAAAAATTCCATCAAGTGTTTCATCTGAATCTGATTCCATCACGACCGAGCCTATATGCGGTTTGGACCGTTGGGTCGGATGGGGCTGGGATCTTATTTTGGGTTTGCATTAAAATCAAAGGAATGTATGGGGAATTGATCGCAGTCCACGGTCCATTCCGTGAGAAAAGAGTTTATAGCGTTTGGTTAAAGTTACCAGTGCTTTTGGGTAGGAATCCGGATCTTCTCCGGATCCTAATAATATGAGCCCAAGAATCAACAATTCGGACCGTTGAAATTTAATCTAATGACTACAATTATTATAACTTTAAGAGGAGTTACATGTTTGTAACTGTTAGATCAAATTTCAACGGTCTGAATCGTTGGATCCCTAGGCTCAGATTACAAGGATCTGGGTTCTTTGGGTAGCACTTCAACTAGTAATAAAAAGTGATTCTCATAAATGCGCTTACGAGCACAAGTGTTTTGTAGAGAAGCGCTAAGCACAAACAAGTGTGGAATGTAGATAGATAGCATGCTCTTGCATGAGTATATACATAACAAATCGTACACAAAGAAATCTGTATCCCTAACTCCCCCATCCACGAAACAAGACCTACCCAGTAAGTCCTGAAAACAAAAGTATAAACAAAATGACAACCCTAAAATTCTCCATCAGGCACATCGTAATAGTTGGGGACGCGTAAAGCAGTCTACCGAGCATGAATTCGTCCATTCATTCCCAAGTAACCGAGACCATAGAGTTGGCCAGACCCGATTCTTCAAAAGTAGATTGACAATCATAATCCAGATTCTTTGAAGCTCCTGGGATTGCCTGCGTCAAGTGAAATGGCCTTGCCTCAGCTTCCTTTAGTTGGGAATAGCAGAACGACCACAACAGCTGCAAAACAAACAGTTCAAAATTACCGACAACCATAGGAAGGGGAGCTCAAGCATAAGCATGAACTTTCTGCATACAAATATAAAACTTCCCTCTTTACCTGAATTGGATCAACGCGGAGGAAGTTCCGCTGGACCCTGCGACCGTCTGGAAGACGGACTCCAACTCTGCAAAGGAGGCTCCTGTCACCCTTGGGTTCTTCGGGCAAAGGAGGGTATGTAGGCATCTTGATTGAGCTAGTTTCTTCCTCCTTCTCGGTGATGCTTTCATCTTTGTCTTTGGATGTTGTTCTGCTTGTCTCCTTCATGCCTTCCATGGAAGCTGCCAATGCGCGCTGCACTTCCTCATCTTCTTCATTAGTTCCGTCTGCAACTGAAGCATCTATAGTCATACACGCAGTTCGTTTAAGAAAAGAAAAGGGGAAAGGAAAACATATCCAAAACACAACTTGTAAGAACAGATCCAGAACAAATCACTCTGCTGCTACCAAAGCCAATATGGTATGGCCAGCAATTACCGAACTCACTTCCATTACAGGATTAAAAGCACATTAAACATACGGATCTTGGTTTCTTCTGTATGTATTTCCATTTTGAGTTCGTATCACACTTCACATGAGGATTTTTTTCCCTTTCGTCTCCCACATACCCACACCCACTTTGTTAAGTTGGAACAAGGAAATTGATCAACTCAAAAGGTTCAACCAACTGAGAATACATGAACAATAATTTGCAAAATGAAATGCAACAGACTCAAGGAGTAAAAAGGTTCACTGCAATGTAATAGAGCAGAAGTTATTAAGATTCCCGAACATACCTTTAGTTTTTTGTGGCTGAGCAGTTTCTCTCGGGCGTTTATTGGACAAAGTTACATGATGATCCCTGGGGCCACTATCCAAGAAGAGTAGTAGATCCTACAGTGGCAAGGATGATTTCATACCAAAATTTAACTTCAAAGCAAAAGTGTAATCACAGTATGAAACGCTCTCTTAGGCACTCTAACAAGAGAAAACTTAATGCTCAACTGTGAAAATACAGTGTACACCATGACTATACCTCTAGCAAACGATCCGGGTGAACCATTCCATTCCATGAACGCATTTTTTGTCCAGTAATAGGGTCAATAAGGAGCACTACAGGCATAGATTCCAACTTGTAGTATGTGCAAACCTTCTTGCCTTCAGTTGTATCATCATATGTCTATATTGTTGAACCAATATCACACGCGTGAAGCACAAAAATTAAACAATTACTTTTGTCAGAATCATAAAGATGATGCAAAAGTTCGTGTCCATATCTGTTATACAATTAGGAGGCAAAACACTCACAAGACAATTAATAAAACTTCTGACACAATTAACAGTCTCTCAAATGCATGGCAAGAAAAGACACAAACAAACACAAACAAATTTATACAATCTCCGTAATTCTAAGTTCCAATAAGAGATCCTAAGACTATTGTTTTAAAGGTCAACCTTTGTCAAACTTTTGGTTCATAGACAACAACATAATATAATCCTAACAAAAAATGAAACCATCATGGCTGCCTTGGGCAAAACTTACTGTTACCACCAAGGGAGCATGGTAATATATATGTAATATCATCCAGTCACATACATGTTGAATTTTTTTCTTGTATAAGCAAAATCACACTAATGTATATCATTATATCTTAATGAGTGAATGTGCATATGTATATCAACAGCCTCCCATTATGACCAAATAATAAAGTATGTAAAAAAAAATTAAGTACAAAGAATTTCTTAAAAATAAAAACCATCAGTCGTGCACTCGCTAATGTAAATATCATACATAGTACAGCCTGAAAAAAATATTTATTTAATTTTAATACAAAAAAGCATGGTACTGACCTGCCAGAAGATAAAATTAGTAATAATGGTTTGAGAGACAGCTTCGTTGGCCCAGGTGTCTCGATTAAGCTTCACAAAGAAACATATATGCACACCAAAAGTGAACCCACACACCGAGAACAACGAAACCAACAAACCAAAATAAAATAAACCAGAGAGCAAACAGTACCATATGCGAGCTGAACTCTTTAGTGGATTGCAAGTTCACCAGTAGCCATTTGTCCTGGACAGAAGCAGCACTTTTTGCCTGATTACATATAAAAAAAAAAAAAAAAATTACATGAAAACATGTTCCCTCAACAAGTATGAAATGCTAAATGATAATAATTCACTCAACATGTCCCTGTATGAACTAGGATTCTTGGTATGCTTATAATTTGGTAGAACAAACCAGAAAGGTTTTCAGTTGATAGTTACAGCTGTAAGGTTATGCTCATATCTGATACATGTATTTATTCAACTATGACCAAAGGAAGAGCCTAAAAAAGTAAGGAATACTCCAGCAAAGCCCTTCCCAGCTACCTGCAACACCATTAATACTGAATATCCCATTCAAGTTCAACTTCTAAAATAAATACACTACGAAGAAATGAAATTAACATCAGAAGACCATACCTTTTCAAAGGAGCCCTGGAACAGTAGCTTAAAGGGAGGACGATATAAGGATGCAAGATTATCTTGAACAGCATTTGCTGAGGATGTAGCACCTTGGTCCGATTCCCATACCCCAGGATGCTTCATTTCCTCCTCAAAGTTACGGAAGGCAATTACAGAACCATGTTGTGAAAATCTAGCCCTTGGTGCTCTATATGAGAATGACAAAAAGTTAGACGTCACCATGTAATAGAAAAATTACAATTAGAGGCCAAGTACACAGTAATAATGAATAGATAGACATAAGTCACATAACAATTCATAATGGCTCGCAACTACTTGATAGGGTGGCTTAATTGCCAAAGATGCACCAGAACAAAGTAAATATTATGCACATCTGCTATGCTAAAACTATTAACTAACAAAAATAACACCAGATGCTCTTCTCTGCGGCAAGCACCTACCATCTGACTTGAGTACACAGATGAAAAATGAATCAAGAAATGATAAAGAAACTAAAATATATTCCACCATCTACAGTACCTTATAGGTTATCAAGAAAATACAAAGGAGAGACTATTTCCAAAAGTAATAGTAAAGTTCTGAAAATATCAGAACCATGGTAAACAAAGCTCTTCAATTAAAATGAAGTGAATAATTAGTAACATTGCTGGCCACATTTCATCTCCCAATCTCCATTTTCGAACATGGCATGGCAGTCGCTAAAGGAAAGAATGAAGGAAGAACAATGAAATACCATGTAACTTCCCATAAATCATAATGCAATGCATCAAGTAGAACCATAATACATTAATACAGTGTTGAGTTGATGCAAAACCCAGTTCAAAAATCTTGACTTTACTGAAGAAAGAGCTCTTCCACAATAAAATCAATTATATCACCTACTTTAGAAGTAGTGCAACAAAAGAATAAAAATGCAACTACAACCAACCACAATTAAGTGAAAAGCTTGATAGTTCACAAGACAAAGCGAGAAATGGAGTGATAAAACATACCCATAGAGCGACATATCGTCATAAAGAACGTCCCTTATAACAGGCATAGGAGCGCGCACCTCATCATCAGCGAATTGTTCCACATTCTCATTCACACCAGGAAGTGCCACATTTTCATTTACGCTGTCACAAACCCAATGTCAAACAAGAAAAACAAAAACACACACCAATAAAACATAAACAAGTAAAGAATATGAAATACCCAGAAGCTTGTTCGGCCAACTGATCAATATTTTCAGTCGGTAACGGCGCCGCCTCGGTCATTATCCCAGCTTCATTACCCACATAAAAGAGCTGAATTGCTTCCTCAAGCTTCCACCCAGTGGCCTGATTATATAAAATTGAAGTTTTCAACATCCACACATTCTACAAAGTCTAAATTCATCACCTTTAGATCAAAAGAACACCCAAATCTACTAATCCAACTCACTTTCCATCTCCCAAAAGCAAAACCACAAAAACAAAAACCCCAAAAACACAAAGAGATCAATGCGATGCGTTTCGGGTACTAAATGAGAGACTGGGAGTTACCTGCAGAAACTGCCGCGCCGTATCGGCGGTCTGGCCGACGGCGATCTCCAAAAACGAAGAGACCAGAGTCTGCTGGTCATTGGCTGACATCACACCCTCCATCTCTCTACAAACAACAACAACGATATTCAAATATCCATCTTTGTTTGCTTCGAAAGCTACTGGATTTTAAATTTTCATCTGAAATTGTAGGGTTTTCGAGGAACGCCAAACGTACCGATTGGCAATGAGTTCTGTTCTTCTGAGATTTTGTTTCTATATTTCTTTATTTTTTTTTAGTTTTTCATAAATAGGCAGCTTTTATTTTTATGATTCGAAAAAGATTTTAACCTTTTATAATTATAAATAACGAAATATCACGAGTTTGAGCGAGAGAGAGATCAGAGATGGCAGACTGGTGGTGGTATTTGTGTAGATATCGGCGAACTTGAAGGGTGTTCTTTGAGCAGTTCAGAGAAGCGTGGGCTTATCGGTTAGGCCAGTCAGTGGCAATTGAGAGGAGCCCAAAAGTTGGATATTGACGAATAACCCTGAAAGGGCCCATATGAAAAGGGATGGGCCACATACCCATCCTAAACCGATTTCCAAAATTAAGATTTTCCTTCCCACTTTATTATGTAGAGGCTTTTTCCACTGTGCGTGTGTGTGTGTGTGTGTTTTTTTTTTTTTTTTGAACAAATGCTATATCTACACTAAAAGAGTGGGGAATGGTTTAACTTCACAATGGATTAGTAATAATGTGTTTCACATTCGCCTTTGGCGAAATTGAACTTAAGACTTTTCACTTACAAGTAAAGAGGAATATCATTAGACCGTAGTACTAAGTGGCTTTTGTAGTGCACATTTAAGTACACATTTGAATAAAAGTCGTTAGATCGTTTAATTTAATGGGATCTAACGGCTCTTGTTCAGATGTGTAACTAAAATGCAATTTTGATGTGCACTTGAGAAATTAAAGGGTTGGTGTTATCCACACATGCTTTTTACCTTTCACACATCCCTTTAAATTTCTAACCGTTGGATCAAAGTACAAGAGTTAAAAGGATGCGTGTAGAAGGTAAAAGGGGTGTGTGGATAGCACTCTTGAGTCTTAACAAAGCTGAATTACAAACTTGATATTGCAGAAATGAAGATTGAAGAATAAAAAAACTGAGAAATCAAGATGATTTAGTTACATTTGGTTATTAAGCAACACCCTAGAGAAAATTCATTATTCCATATTACCCTTATTTAGAGAACCAAAAAGTGGTGATATGCATATGCACAGTACTATTATTCTTTGAACTACAATTTTTCTCTAGTACAAGATATTCTACACTAATTTAGATTTAGAGGAAATGAAGAGTTTAAACCTAAATTGTACATGAATATACAACATGCATGTTTACTAGTAATCAGAGTCAAAATGAAGTGTTGTAATTTGATTACATATTACTTTAATATTTAAAAGTTATATGAGAGTGAAAACAGAAGAATGACACACCATATCATGACTTCGAAGTTCTTATTTTGGGACAAACTGGACACTAAGTAGGGGTGATATTTTGATTCCTGCAATCAACCCATCAAGGTTTTTTTTTTTTTTTTCTTCTTCTTTTTTTTTTTTTAATACCCTGACGCTGTTTATAAAATTTTATATTTGCTTATCCACATAAATTCACTTTTTTTATCACACTTTTTCAAAAACAGTTCAACTTCTCTTATCTATTACATGTCATGCATCAGTTCTAGAGTGCAAAACAAAAAGTTTAGGCTATATGTATGGGAGCAAGCAACGAAAAAGAATGAGCTTATTGGGTGTTTGATATCCTGCATCCCTTCTATTTTTTATATTGCCAGTATTACTTATTCCGTACTCGAGAGAGGTCAAGTACTAGTAGGTATGTAGATTTACTCCAACCCAATCTTATGTGTCTGTATTAGTGTGCTACGTGCTTGTCAATGCCTAATTCATCCTTTTGCTTTTAACTACAACCACATGTTTCAAGGTGCATGCTTAGTAGTTTTTATCGGGTGATCGAGGACAGTTATAAAGATATTATTATATGGTTTCATTTTTTTAAGACGACCAACATTGATATGAAGATAATTTATAAATAAACATTTTAGAGAAACTCCTACGCGGTTGCTACAAACACAACCACAACCAGTACACATTTATAACAAAGGCGGTAGTTAAAGAAGTTTGGAAATCATATACACCAAGTAAAATGACTTTTGAATGTAATCTATGTTTAGTGTGTGATAAGTCCTAAACAAATTAATTAAAGAGGTCAACATGTATTATTTAATCTTATGTGAGGTTTGCTGGCTAGGGCTACCTACATCTAGTAAAGAAAAGGAGCAGCACCACTAAATCAAACAATTAATACTTAAGCACACATTATTCAATCTTTTGCTGCTTTGCAAATTCTTTAATTAATCACAGATTATATATATAAAAAATTAATCTAGCTCCATTTTATTTCATTTTATTAAAGGTCGCGTGCTATTTAACGAATTTAGTTTTTGTCCCGTCCGATCTATTTTTTTTTTTTCAAAAGTAGGACTCGTGCTCTTCAAGAATGCGTGTTGAACAACCCTTGCCATGGATGGAGCTTTCTCAGAGGACAGTAATTGAAACATGTCTTAAGAAAGTTAGAAAAACGACAATGGCTGCCACTATAAATATATATATATATATATATATATATATATGTGCTTAATGGACCTCTTATCTATAATTATTTGGGATTTGGGCACTCTCTTTGGCCATAGAACTTACCTAACTTTAGAGTGCTTGTTTTATACACAGTTTATGTTTTATATATTTACAGTTTGGTCATATGATTCACCTAAGTTTATGTTTTTCTTATGGAGTATTTGGACCTAACGAAAGATATGACGCAATTAAAAACAAGAGCAGTGATGCTATAAGATTTATACAATTGACTCTACTTAGTAATGGTTGTTAATAATTTGTTGATCAAAAAGTAACAAAGTTGCTTTTTACTCACTCATCTAATCTTTAAAGGTTCAATCTATTAGCTCAATTTCCATCACCAACAGTGTATGGTCCTACGCATACGCTGCTTAAATTTATGAATGCTCTCGTAAGACAGCTTATTATTTTTTTCCCTCATTCCTATTAAGTGGCCATTTTTGTTTGGAGGTTTTGCCATCTGGTCTAAAGCCACCAAGGCTTTATTTACTCACTATACAAAAAGCTAGCCAACTTTCGTATTCCACTAAAGCAAAATTCAAATATTTAATTGCGTGCACGTAGCTTTTTTTTAGGGGAGATGCCGAGCAGATTACCCATGGAAAAAAAATGTGGATGAAATCTTGATGATTGGCCTGAAACTAGAGGCGTCAATCTGTTCCAATTAAATTAACATCAAATGAAACGATTGAGTAAGTTCACGATGAATATGGTGGAACTGTAGCACATGCACGTTCACTTTTAATTAATTTGTGTTTCTTTTTCTTTCCCTTATTCCTTTATGTGTTAATTAGTACATGTATGAACATTCCAAGGAATCGATCGGTGTGTTAGAATTTTCAGAGGCAAAAGATAATCATTCCCATAGTTTGTGTCGTTTCACAAAAAAATCCATTGGAAGTAAACATTTTTGTGTTAGCAATACTTAATCTCATGGTTTGTGGTGCATGTAAGTTCAAGGACTAATAACAAAATATCGTGAGAGAGTTCAGGGACATGGAGGGATATCTTTGATATGGCACTTCGATTGTGTGAAATAGATAGAACATAGAGGAGCCAAAGTTGGAGATGGCTATGTGCAAGAAAAATATCCACTAGCTATTGATTTGTAGTTGGCTCTATTTGTAATTCTGAAGAAGGAAGACTCTGGTCACACTCTACATAAATAATGCAGCTACAGTTTAGTCATCTACCTGTTTCATTGGTGGTGATATTGATGTTTAGGGACGTAAACAAGTTGTTTTTTTTTTTTTAAATGAGACTAGCTAGCTGGTGGCTTCGCTACGATAGTCTATCATTCCAGGAGTTGAAAACACTCACAGTCATAGAGGCATAAACAAGTTGTTAAATGCAGACACATGGTAAACTGGCCTATATCTTTTTACCAGAAAGACGGTGATTCAAAGCCAATTTGGCATGGTTGATGGTTATGATCCTCATTTAGGTGGCTAGAATTTATCCATGTATCTTTTTCCTATAAATGAGAAAGCAATTGACACTACTAGTTATTATATAAAAGAACATGAACTTTTCAAAATGCCATTATTGTCGAAATAGGAATCAAATTAAATAATTTAAATGTAACGCCGCCTAACCTATGATATGTATTCAGTCTCCACCTAATCAAACTTTCCACTCCAAACCTAGAGATTAGAAATAAAAGATACATTGGGTGGATGAGATTGAAGCTAAAGCTAGCTAATAAGAACATTTTAATTTATACTATAAAAGTAAATACACACGGATCAAATATATGGCCATGTATTAATTCATGTGACAATGTCTAATGAAGAAATTAAAAAATGCTTCCCTCCTTCCGCAGCCAATGACCCTTAATGGTGGTAGAAGAACGAAATTATACGGATGGGAAAAAAAATTCTCAAAGTGGAACTTGATGTAGAGTGATGCAGATTGCCACTCAATAAAAACAACCACCAACTAGACCATGTTCACTGACCTATATGCAAAGGCCAAGCAACTATACCCTTCGTTAAAAGGAATGGATTTGTTAATTATACAATAAAGTAAAAGATACCACACATATGAATTAATTATTAAGCAAAAGCAATTTTAATTTCTGACCATTTTATCATCAAGGTCTAATTAGGTCCATTATTCAATCTTAGTGGACCATGGTCGTCTCACACACACATTGTGTTGACCTCTAATAGTAAAACACATAGCTTCTTGTGATATATAGAGAAATAAAATATATAAGTTCCAATGACCTAAAAATTGAGTTCTAACCTTTAATTGTATAGCGCAAATTTGGAACTTACGTGATTAATCCAATTACTGTGCTGGTACAATATGTTTGGAATGTCTTGTGTAGAACAAATGTTGGTGACTATTATGATTTTTTTATTTATTTTTTAATGTAAACTAATTTGCATTTGGGACCATGTATGTATAATTAAGTTGATTAATTGTATTAAAGAAAAGTATTGAACGTATTCCGTTTTGCTTACGGATCAATAGTGTCTTGTCATGCACCTTGTCCATATGAAAGAAGATTTTTTTTTTTTTTTTGTTTGAAGGGGCCAAAAGTTGAAACAAAATTATTCATTTATAAATCTAAATTGGGACATTCCCAATTGATCTTAACAAACAAAACTCATTAAACAAGAATGAGGATTATTAAAATAAAAATTGCATAAATCTCAAA